CCTGCTGCCTGCTCCGCAGGTGCTGCCTGGCCTCCGTGGCTCTGACCCTGGTGCGGGGAGCCCAGGTTATGGCGCGGGGATGAGGAGGGCGGAAGCCAGCGAGGCCTGGTGGTGGCGCTAGGCCACCGCGCCGCCCCCGCAGGTCTGGGGGAGCTGCTGGGCAGGGGATGGGGTGTCTCCACCCTGGCATTGGGGCTGGCTTCTGCTTTTTGAACCTCCTCAGCGTTTGCCTCCTGGTCCTGAATCGGTACTGGCCTTTGCAAGGCCAAGTGGTGGCACCTCAGGTCCCCTCCGTGGCGTGTTTGTGTGAGAAGGAAGAGCTGGGGAGGGGTGAAAGCCCAGCCCAGCCAGCGCGCGGGGGCCACGACAGCTCAGCTCAGTACCCAGTGGAGGTGAGGGAAGTGGGAACGTAGCACAGGAGGAAACCGGGGTGAGGGCCCTGGGTTTGTTGTCTCGTGTCTGCCTCTCTGGTGAGGAGTGGTGGGTGAGGGAGCAGCAGAGGAGAGGAGGCCTGGAGGATGCCCCTCGCTCTCAGCAGGAGGATGTAAGAGTATGACAAGGGTGGAGCACATCCCCATGGTGGTGATACACTGGGGGCCCTGTCATTAGGCATAGTGGGGAGAGAGGGAGCTTATGCTACTCTGAGAGCAAGTCTGGAGCAGCATGAAATTGTTTCATGGGTGATTTCTCTAGGTTTTTAATTCCAGAGGGAGGGCCCAGCAGATACCCCAAAGGGCATGTGGCCCTGAAGGAAAAGGGGAATGGAGAAAGTCACATTGCAAACTGGGCAGGGCTGGACCTCCTACTGTGGCTGTAAGTAAACTCATTAGTACCTATGATCTAGCTTGATTGTTATACCAAGTGCTGTGTGAACACTCAAAAAAAGGCCTGGTTTTCCCCCAAAGGGTCAGTACACTGTCAGCTTACTCAAAATGTTGCAGACACTTTACAAGATGTCTGTGAATGTTGTAGAAGTTTATCTTTTTTAAAGGAAGGGGTTTAGCTTACTGAAGATCAAAGGAGCTGTTAATAGGAAGAAGACTTAAATGATGTGGTTGTGGGTGGAAAGCTGCAGAAGCAGCATCTCCACATCTACTATTACCATCTTCAACCACACGGTGGCAACCACAGCATGCGAGATTGGTCTGATTCAGGCGATCACCGGGTAACAAAACCAGGTGGAAGTCAGATCTAGCCTGCCTTGGCATGATGAAGGAAAAGCACCAGGCTCCAGCGATGAGCAAGTGGCTCTGGCCAGGGCTTCTCGAGGGCTGATTTTGTGCTCTGGTTCCCACCTGAGGAGGTACAGAGATCCTGCCAACTTCTTGTCGGAAACTTGCGTAAGATTTATCCCTGACAGACTGGTCACTTGATTGAAAACATTTTTTTTAGTGTGTTAGGACAGTATTATGCTTTCTTTATTAATTTAATAGAATTAAAATATTAGAGGAGTTCTGAGCAGTGCTTCAATTATGTTATTTTTTTTATTTATTTATATAAATATATTTATTATTTAATTAATGTCCTGCACTCCCAGGTTTGTGCTTTCAGTGAAGTGTCATTGTAATTAAGACTTTGAAATTCCTGGGGTTTTGGGGGCTGTTATTTTTAAAACTTGCAGCTTGATGCCCCTGAGCAGGTTTATTTCTGCAAAGGATGAGGCTCAAGCAACTTTCTTCCCACCCTACCCCCCCCGCAGAGAGGAGAAGGCTGTGACATCAGATGCTCTTCTACTTCATAAACAAAGGGATAGTCTGCAGATGTGTGTTAGTTTAAAATGTGAACCGATGCAAAGAACACGAAACACACAAGCAGGAGATTGCTTTTGCAGTGGAGAGGAAAGGCTGGGACTGGTCCTTGGAGTGAGTCCTGTGGAGCGGCTCAGGGTGAAGACTGTGCTGCACGTAGGAGGATTAAGATCTTATTTTTAGACTACTGCTTATCTAAATTTTCTCCTAAAGAGCTTTGCAGAGTTGGGCCACAAGAAGTGTGTAATCCAGGGCTTTAAGGGAAGAAGAAAGGATTTGTACTCATTGCCAAGCTTTACAAAGAGGTTAGGGAAATCCATGAGGTGACGTGGGCAAAGTAATTTGTCCTGAGGTGAGGAAAAGGTTTTTTACCACAGACTTTTGCATAAACCAATCCTAATAAAATAATGCCTTTAAAATGCTCTTGGTGTCTTCAGAAATGAAAATGCTTGCTGGTGGATGGGACAAAGAGCCAAAGGCTTTCCAAGATCTGAGAAGAGAAATATTCTCCTGTCAATAATATGAAACTCATCCAAAGATACCAACCTGAGAAGGCAGGTCCCTCTCTGGTGGTACTTTTAGGCTGTCAGCCCTGGGCAGCTCCAACTGGACAGGCTCCTTCCAACATCCCTTGGTCAGATCCTTGGCCTCAGCGGGGTGAAAGAGCAGGGGGTGCTCGGTGTGACCTCTGGACCCAGACAGTGCAGTCCTGTTTTTCTAGATGGTGGCATTTGTATTTTGTCTGTTCATTTAAAATTATGTAAATCCTTCTTTAGTCTGCCCCAGGTTAATTAGTTCGTCTTCTGTGGAAGTGGAGGATGCTTGTCCTGCCTAAACCAAGCAGCGTGTGTGGCACTGCGCTGCCTTTCTGTTGATGGGCCGCTGTGCTCTGTGACAGCGAAAGAACGGCTAGTGTAAAGGTCCCTTGGTCCCAGCTGGCAGATGGAAATGGGACGTTCAAAAGCATTGAAAGTAGGAAGAGGGGTTAAGGATAAGTGACTGCACTTACCAACAGCCTTGCACGTAGGAACTGTCTGACTTTGGTTTCCCTCTTTGGAGGAGGTAGTATCTCCATTATGCAGGAGAATACAGGAGAAGATGGTCAAGGATTCAAAAAGGGGCTGTCGTGGTTTAACCCGGCTGGCAACTCAGCACCACGCAGCCGCTCGCTCACTCCCCCCTCCCTC